GTGTTGAGAAATAATTAGTAAATAAAATATTTATATAATGTGCTTTGTGAAACCGTTTTACTATATAAATTTTGTGCCGATTTCAGTGATTTGTAGTGATTTTTTATATATATTTTAAAATTAATCAATTATTTGTAATAAGTGTTTCATTTAAAAAAATTAATATGTATTTTATATTATATAATTGAGTTTACACCCTTTGTGACTAATAATTGAAATTCTATATCTCTTTAATAAAATATAACTTAATCTTATCGCCAAATTTGTATGTTTGCCTATTGATTGCTGTATAAAGAAATAATTATTTGAATTCGAATACAAAAAAATAGACGATAACTTAGTATATTTCTAATAGTAAAAAAAAATCGAAATTTATAAAAATGGCGTTAGTCCATTTTATTTGTGAATATGTCGTCATGTACTCGTATAAAAGTTTGAAGAGCATGGTTCCATTAAGCATTTTATAGTTCCTCATTAATGTATGTTATATCTTCATCTCAAAATGAAGAAATCTATAAAAGTAAATTAATATATAAATTAAAAATGCTTTTTTAATAAAAAAACTTTATATATTTTTATTTAATAATTATTGTTCTTAGCCACTAAAAGTATTTCATAATTTTAATTATTTATTAATTAATTATTGTCTCTTTTCTCTTTTCAAGTCTCTTTTCAAATAAGTCTCTTCTGGTATAAGATAAATTGCTCACTTAAGACTATTAATTCTATGTTGAATTCCCTGATATATAATAAATCAAAATAAATAATAACATATTTTCATCACAAAATAAAATATGTCAATGTCCATATATTTGTCCCTATGGAGATTACTGGCCTAGAGCGAATTGTCACACCTATAATTTTACACAATATGAGGCTGAAAACAATATCACAAATTGGAATTCCTTTTTAATAAAATTTTAAAGTTTCTTCTAATATATTCCATTAACAAAAATGTGGTACTACAAATTAAACATCCATATATTTACTTTAAAAGAAATAGTAAGAAATAGTACACAATTGAACTTAATAATATAATTGATGGAATAAAAACTATGTTAGTAGGGCTATTTCACGTTTCATATTTCACCCCAATTTCTATATATCTACACCGGTCACTAATTAAAATAAATAAATTCATACTCTTATTAGGAGCTTAAATTTTTTATATATAAAAACCTTTATCCTGTGCTAAAGCTCCCATATAAGGCAATGCTGTAAATAAGTCACACACAGCGATGTCTGCTCCTGTGTCATATATGCAGTTGGTCGTGTTACTCTTCTCTATTTAAAATATTAGTCAAATACTGACAATCCGAAATGAACTGTTTTAGATATACTATTTTGTCTTTCTAACTTTTTTCCTAAATATGGTATTAATTTAATTGTCGATAGTTTCACTTTTATTATATGTTTTGAAGCTCAACCATTAATCCAAAGTCGTGGCTAATATACTATTGGCTTAGTCCGCCACTTAAAGAGTGAAGTGGCGTGATATTTTCAGCAGATAGGATTTTCTTCAATCCACTGGGATTATGCACACACTGAACCGCACTTTACGAGGATATGAATTAGAAGAACTGTAGTTCATGATGCAGATACATATACATTTCTATAAGAGTTTGTGAAAAGTCACACTCATCAGACGTTATTTTTTGTTTGCAATGTTTACTTAAGATCCAAATTGATTTTTAAAATCCGGAAAGTATTTTTCGTCTTTACAACACTTTGTAAAGATAGGAGAACTTCAATTCCTTTCTGTTGCTAATATGAGACTATTTGAACTTAGTCGTATTTGCATATATAATACGATCTGTACTAAACATAGCTTAAGTAATGCTTACATATGTGAAGACTAATAGGCTATTACGGACATATTATCTAGTATATTAAAGACAGATATCACAAGTATTGAGAAGAAGTGATTGATTAACTATAATAATATATGAATGATATCTGGAATTGAAAAACCTATCAACTTAAAGCATCTATGGTACAAATACTCGTATATTTGTCATTATACTACATGAGAGATATTTTCAAATTACTATTTGAATTACTTACAGTATGTTTGTTCCACAAGAAATTGCTCGACAATTATTTACCAAGTGTCACTTTCCATATCAAATCCATACAAAAATGTGCTAATGAGGTTCAATATTAATAAGTTAAATCAATTACAGTATACTGAAATAAAATACCAATGCATTTGTCTTATAAATGTAATGTTTATATCTTAACCACATTTTTGTAATAATTAATTATTACTAAACAATATGAATACCTATTGATGATTAGGTAACTCATTATCTTATCATTAGAAATATACATACCCATATATGTTAGTAGAATGAACTTGATTCCGTCACTCAAATATTTATTTATATACTAAGCATAAGATAAATAGCGAGCAATTCTTTTACATAAAGATACTCGTATTTTACAGGTTTCTGATAAGTCATAAATATATGTATGATACGCTGAATATAGTACAAAAAATTTAAATAGTTTATCGTATGTATATTTAAGTACTGATAAACATTTTTCTTAAATTCAAAATTAATATATTTAATATTCAGTTTCATTACTAACACAGATTGAAGAAGAGTTTACTTAACCGGTTTAATCCATTTGGCTTTAGTCCTAGGTACTGCAAATGTCGACTCCTAGCAAAACCAAGATTTTCTGTCCCAAATACACGACTTCAAAAAATAATGTCTTGTGTCAATCGAGCAGGTTGCTTAAAATGTGAGGTTTTTATAACCAGATTAGTGATAACTAAATATCTCATATGTGCTACTTACATAGAGCACTGTCGCAACTTTAACTAACCAACCATCCATGGATATACATATGTACTGCTACATACCATGTTTTTAGAATATTAGATATCAATATTCCTAAAATTACTCTATTTTAGTGTTCCGAAATTTTTTGTTCCGAAAAATTTATTAGTCCCATTACATACCATATATTTATTAACCTGTGAACTTTCTTTAAATTTTAGATGCTTGCGTACAGTGTAACTCTTCAAGTGATCCAAAATGTGCAACAAATCCTGAAAATTACATGGCTAAAGAATGCTCTAACTCCACATCAAAATGTTTTACTAGAATTTTGGGTAAGTTTTATTTATTTTAGTTCTAACTATTTTTCATTTAACTAACTATATTCATTTATTTTCGAAGATGGTAACACAATACGCGGCTGCGCAAGTGACTTGGATAACAAAACCGCTTCCAGATGTAATAACGAAATGGAATGCTTGATCTGCTCCTTCATGGAAGGCTGCAATCGCAACGTCTTCCCCACACATCGTCTAACATGTTTGCAGTGCGAAGGAACAAATAATGGTACTTGCGCAAATGAGGTGTACGCCAAGTCCACAGTATGTCCTATTTACAAATTGGGTGATAAATGTTTCATTAGAAACACTGGTAAATAATTTGCATATATAACAAAATATATATGTTTTTAATCCCGTTTTTATTTTAAACTAGGATTGAACGCTACGACCTCCTTCCAACGTGGTTGTCTCACTTCAGCGCAGTCAAAGAAACTTTGTGTGGATGAGAGAAACTGTTATACCTGCGAAGGTAGCAGCTGCAACCATTTAGCATACGGATCGGAATTAATTCCAATTGCACGTGACTCCGCCGGTCTTTTCGGTTACTCGCTATTGTTAGTCGTAGCTGGTATTTTAACTACTCGCTACTTTTAAATAGCAACGAATATATTTTGTTCGCCAGTGTGTTTCTTAATTTTTTAATTGTAATTTTATTGCTAATAAGTTTCTAGATAAATTCTTGTAGCAATTCTCTTTGCCTTTTAATAAAATTTTAATTTTTTTATTTAAAATAAGATTTACTCGAAATAGTTGAAAAGAAATGAATATTTTCTTTTGTTGAAATTGGAAAAGAATTCACACTTAACAGGAAAATGCATTCCAAGTGCATTAAATTTTACGATGTGCGAGTGAATCCGTTTCTGCACAAACGGTTGACTTTTTGATTCTATCGTTTCGGCATTTCACGTATTTGGACTACTTATAAATATGCTATAGGAATTATAGTACAAGTAAGAAGAAGAGTAAAAAAGCGGTTTTCATTAATATTGCGTAAATGTTAAAGGAAATTACTTACACCGGAAGATAATGTATAAATGTTTCAACACATTTGAATCCCTCTATTTTAATTGAACTCTTATTGAAGTTTATGGAAGTTGTGAAGAACAGCACTTATGTATGCGTGTTCAAGATAAATTAAATGAATTTTTTTGAAAAAAAATTTTAAAATATTTTTAAATAATTATTAGTAAACAATTTTTCAGTATAAATCGTAAACAAATACGGCAAACTAGCCAATTTCAATATTAGTATACTATATTTAAATAAAAACACTAGCTACCCGATGACTGGAAGTTGACTGGAAATCAACTACTTAAGTAGTGCGAGAATATTATAGTGAAGTGAGTTTTGCTGAATTTAAAAATCTTATCTTTATGTTCATCTATTAAACTTTTTCAATCTTAAAATCATACTTTTTCGAATTCTTTCGAGAACGTTTCGAAAATTGAGCTGTTTTTACGGGCTTAACGATTGAATTTAAAAACCTAGCACTAAAACTAAACAATAGTATCTTCATTACAAAAGTGCCATTCCCTACCGGACAATCTTATTTTGTTGATAGGTTAATATACGTCTGGCATTAGTATCGCGCTTCCTACTATAAAACAAGCTGCTTATTCACACAAAGTGTGACAGGAAGTATAGTAAAGTTCAAGGCGCAGATAATACTCTATTATGTTACATCAGACAGTCTCATATTGTTTAAATGGAAGTACAAACCTAGTGTAA